CTGTTTCTTCATTCTTTTCTGTTTGGTCATTTTTTTTCTTCCTTCTGGTCTACTCCCTTGATTTGAGTCCCAGTCTCCTTTCCATTACTATTGGTTTCCTGTGCATTACCATTCATTTCAATTAGTTTAGCCTTCATATGTTCCTCTAATTTGTGACTAAAATCAACCAGTTCTGTGAGGATCCTGATAACCAGTGTTTTGAACTGTGCATCTGAAAGTTTGACTATTTCTTCATCGCTTAGATTTATCGGCTCTGGGGCTCTGAGTTGTTCTTGAGCCATTTTTGGTCTGTTCGAGCCGTTCAGTATGAGGAGCCGAGCCTTAGTTGTTTACCGGAGGGGGGGCCACCCAGGTCACTGGTTTGTGACGCTGTATGTGGGGGCGGGGTCAGAGAGGAAGCAATGGCGGTCCTCTCTGCTAGCCCAGTCCAGCCTGTTTATCCCAGCAGAATTGTGCGAGCCTGCTGCCCTGCACCGTTCAGTCTCAATGCTCGCCTCTTCACTGGTTTATCTGCACGCAAATGTGCGACCTACTGCAGACAGCCAGCCGCGCCTCTTCCCTGTGTCCGCCCGTAGCTAGCCCGCACCTGGGATCCGCACCTTCGGCTGCTTGCGCACCACCCAGTTGGGGATCTTTTGGGTCAACCCGCTCCGCTACTGGCTTCGCCCCTCTTACCAGTTTAGCTGAGCATTTCGTTGTTTTCGGACTCCGTATTGTCGATTTTCTGTGTGGTTTGGTTGTGTTTATTGTTGTTAAAAATTTGTTGTTCTTAGATTTGATTGTGCGCGGACGCAAGGTGTTTCCACCTACGCCTCCATCTTGGCAGAAGTCCCCTGTATAGGTTATTTATCAGGTGCCCTGCCCGGGGAAGGGGAACCATGGACAAAATGGAGCTGATGTGTAGCCTACGAGCTGCTTACCAAACCATGTGTGGTGGTACAAGACTATACCCCTTTCTAGTCCTCACAAAGGGACCCTGTGGGCTACCAGTGAGTGGTGGTACACTCTATGCAGTGTGAGATGGAGGCTCAGAGAGGGCAGTGATGTTGCCAGACCGCGGACTCCTCTGTGCCCGTTTCTCATGTTCCTCTCTGAGAGCTCAGTGAAACCACACTGACACGTCTGTGGTAAGAGGAACAGATCGGGGCCATGGAGGCCCTGTTCACAACAGGAGCAGATCTATACAGAATATATAAATAATGTCTAAGGCCATATAAATAAAGGTCATATATGGTCTTTATAGAGATAATTTAATTGGATATAAAAGAAGATGTGCATAGAAAGATATACCCTGTTCATAGATGATAGGATTATTAAAAAGATGTTGACTCTCTGGTCCATGAATTCTGTACCATTTCAATAAAAATCCCAAAAGGATTTTTCATGGAATCAATAAGCTAACTCTAATTCATGTGACACTGCAAAGAATTGAGAATAACCAGACAATTTTGGAGAACAAGAGCAGGGAAGGCTTTCTCTATGAAATATCAAGGCAGATTTTGAAGCTATAGTCATATAAAATTAGTCGCTAGCCACATGTGGCTATCAAGCACTTGAAATGTGGCTACTATGAATTGAGAAGTACTATAAATGTAAAATACAGTCCAGATTTTGAGGACTTACTAGGAGTAGGAATGTAAAATATGTCATTAATAACTTTAAAATTGGCCCTTACTGGCATGGTTCAGTGGATTGAGTGCTGACCTGCAGACCAAAAAGTTGCTGGTTGATTCCCACTCAGGGAACATGCCTGGGTTGCAGGCCAGGTGCTCAGTAGTGAGCATCTGAGAGGCAACCACACATTGATGTTTCTCTCCCTTTTATTCCCTTTCCCCTGTCTCTAAAAATAAATTAACATTTTAAAAAGATAACTTTTAAATATTGATAAATATTGATTGAATATTACATGTTGAAAATGTAATATTTTGATCATATTTGGATAAACAAAATATTATTAAAGTTGTCGTAGCTGATGTGGCTCAGTGGATGGAGTGCTGGCCTGTGAACCAAAAGGTCGCTGGTTCTATTCCCAAGCAAGGTACGCACCTGGGTTGTGGGCCAGGTCCGCCACTAGGGGGTGTGCAAGAGGCAACCACGCATTGGTGTTTCTCTCCCTCTCTTTTCCCCTTCCCTTCTGTCTAAAAATAAATAAAAATCTTTAAAAAAATTAATTCCCCCTTTTTCTCTTTTGAAGATTTTATTTTTTATTTTTTAGAGAAAGGAGAAGGGAGGGAGAAAGAAAGAGATATATCAGTGTGTGAGAGAAACATTCATCAGTTGCCTCTCACATGCCGCCCAAGTGGGGACCTGACCTGCAACCCAGGCATGTGCCCTGGCTGGGAATCAAACTAGCAACCTTTTGGTTCACAGGCCTATTCTCAGTTCACTGAGCCACACTAGCTAGGGCACACTAGCCTTATTTATAACATATATACAAATAACAATGAATTGACAACCTAAAAATGAAAATTTTTAAGATTCTTAGAAATTGTAGGGACTTTTTTATGGCCTTCATGTTGGAAAGGATATAGTTTCAGTTATAGCCTTTGCTACATACATAACAAACTCGTAAAAAAAATTAGTGTCTTAAAACTGCCGCAGCTTATTACCTCCTGCTGTTCTGTGGAGTGGCAAATGGTTCTTCTGTTGATCTCACCTGGGCTCTCTCACATGGCTGCATTCAGCTGGTGGGGTGGCAGTGCTCTCTGGGCCACCTGGGCTGCTTCTTTGGTGGTCTTTTGTCCCATGGGCTTCTTCATAGCATGGCAGTCTCAGGGCACCACGAGAATGAGAGGGGAATCTGCAAGGCCTGTTGAAGTCGGAACTCAGAAATCTGTGACAGCATGAATGGACCTGGAGAACATTATGCCAAGTGAAATAAGCCAGTCAGAGAAAGACAAATACCATATGATTTTACTCATATGGAATCTAATAATTAAACTGAACTAATAAGGAAAATGGGACAGAGTCATAGATGGAGAGCAGGATGACAGCTGGGTGGAGGGAGGTTGGGGGTGGAGGGATTGAGCAAAATAGAAAAAGGACTCATGGACATGGACAACAGTGCAGTGATGGCTGGGGGGAGAGAGGTATAAGGAGACTAAATGGTAATGGAATAAAATACAATGGAGAGTAAATTTTTTAAAAAGTCACAGAGCATCAGTACTGTCTGTTGGTTGGTGAGAGCAAATCATGGGCAGGCTAAGATTCAAGGGGTAAGGAAGTAGATACCCCTGTCTCATTGGGAAAATGGTTAAGTCACTTCACAAAGGAACATGCCAAATCATAGGATCTCCTAAAATCCAAATAGTCCTGATAATTAAGGCAAAGATTGACAAGTTTAACTACATTAAAATCAGACACTTCAGTTTCTGAAAACACCCATTGAAAAAATGGAAAGATAAGTTGCAGACTGGGAAAATATATTTGCAACATCTTTTACTAACCAGATATATAAAGAACTATAAACCATGAGAAAAAAGCTAACAACACATTAGAAAAATGGGCAAAAGACATGATAAGGTAATTTATAGAATATGAAATGATGTTCAACTTCATTAGAGAAATGAAAATATGCAAACAGTGAGATACTATTTATCCACAGACTGGTAGAACCAAGACAGTCCTACAACACTGAGAAGTGTTGACTAGAATACAGTGTGAGGCAGGGGGTGCTTGTGTGCTTTCCAAGGAGGTAGAAGGCAACCCAGCTTTGTCAGCAGGTGGATGCACCAGGCAGTGCCTCCTAGGACATTCCTAGATATGTGCTCCGGTATAGAGTGTTCATTCCAGCATGGTTTGTAATACTGGAAATGTGAAAGCAGCTTAAATGTATGATATTAAATAAGTTGTGTCATGTTTACAGAAGTCATTGGATGAATGAAAGCTGTATGGATCAGCATAAATAGGACTTGCAAACATAATGTTGATTGTAAAGGGCATGTTCCACATACTTATAGTGTGATACAATTTATGTAGATTTTGAACCACATAAAGCAATATTCTAGATTATTTATGGATACGTAACTATTAAAGAAATAGTAACGAGACCAAGAAGAATATACAGCAACTCCAGGATCATGGTTGCCTCTGGAAAGGGAGGAGACATGGGATCAGGGCAGGCTCAGCAGGAGTTCCAGTCTACTTTGATATCTTTTTAAAAGAAAATCTGAGGCGCCCTGGCTGGTGTGGCTGAGTTGGAGTGTCATCCTGTACCTAGTATCAACCTAAGGAGTTCGCCTTAGCCCGTGTGGCGCAGTGAAAGCAACGTCCCATAGCTCAAGGATGCATATGATCCCCAGTTTGGGCGCTGGTCTGTGCTGCAGGTGCACACAGTAGGCAACCAATTGATACTTCTCTCTTACATTGATGTTTCTCTCTGTACTTTCCTCTCTTCCTTCCACTCTCTCCAAAAGCAATAGGGAAAAAAGTGTCCTCAAGGTGAGTAATAGAAAAAAGTCCTTGAGGTGAATATTAAAAAAAAAAGTTGGGGGTTCATTTCCCAGTCAGGGCACATGCCTAGGCTGTGGGTTTTGACCCCTGGTTGGGGCACCTGTGGGAAGGAGTCAGTCAGTGTTTCTCCCATCCTCTCTCTCTAAAATCAACAAACACATTTTTTAAAAAATCTGTGGCAAGACTTGGTAATTCTGGGTGGTAGTTTATATTTTACTTCTCTGTATGCTTCAAATATTTCATTAAAAATACTTTAAATGCTTTAAAGTGTCATAATTTTGGTTGTGTAGGATATTCTAAAAAGTCATTTTTATATTTGCAATGCCCTGGAGTCTAATTTTCTGAACATGATTTATACATTTAACCAGTAAAAATATAGTCATCCTAGAATTGATGGCCTATCTTAGATATTTCCTGCTGTAAGTGAGGTCTGTAGAGGAGAATACTATGTGTCAGGGAGGGTCTTTAGAAATTGCCAGATCGAGACTTGCATGTGTTATATAAATCTGAAAGTGGTCATTCACTGCCTTTTTCCTCTCTTGTCCTAGGAGCCTCACTTTGCCCCATCTGAAGTCCATATGGCTCTTTATGATGAAGATCTTCAGAAAAATCCTTTCTATCTGGCCCTTCAAAAGTGGCGTCCTGACTTGTGCATCAAGGCGGCCCAGACCCATGGCGTGGTAAGCACATCAGTCCTGAGGGTTGTCCTTCCCACTAGGTGAGGACTACGCAGTGCTGCCGAGGCCAGAAATATAGTAACCCTTGGTTAAATTTGGAGGGAGTCAGATCCAAACCCACTCAGTGCAGCAAGCCCCAGACCATGGGTGGTGTGTGAACAAGGGCCAACCCAGGGTGTACTCTTCTCTAAACCCTCAGCCCATGTTGACACAGGTCTCACTGTGTTTGCCTGTTTCTTTTGTTTCCATGCCAACCATGAGGGCTTCTGAGGGCAGAAATCAGATTCCTCCTCAGGGTCTCACGAGTCCTGGTGTGTCAGGTGGGTGCTCACTCCTGTACAATAAGAGAACATGCACATGTCACTTCAAAGGCATTTCCTAAGGTAGAGAACTATGGTGAAAGAACTTTTTTTTAATATTTTATTTATTTATCTTTAGAGAGGAAGGGAAGGAGAGAAGGAGAGAAACATCAGTGTGTGGTTGCCTCTCATCAGTCCCCTGCCAGAACAGGGCACAAGGCATGTGCCCTGACTGGGAATTGAACAGCGATCATGTGGTTCGCAGGCCCGTGCTCAATCCATTGAGCTATGCCAGCCAGGGCAGAACTTTTATAATAGAGGCCACAACCTCAAAAGCCTTCCCAGGCAGCCAGGTAACAGGAATGAGGGAAGTGTACAAGAGAAACCGCAGCCCACTGGTGGGGCTGGTGCTGCGTGGCGAGAAGGCGGCCCGACACCATGGGCCTGTCTGGTTCTGAGGTTGTCTCACACTACACATCAGGACACTGTGGGCACCTCCGTGCCTGGCTCTGCTCGAGGAGCCTTCTGCCTTCTTTCTGTGTGTCGTCCTCTTCTTTTCCCGTGTTTTTGCTTTTCTTGCCACAGGTGTGACTTTATTCGGTGTGTCAGGAGGCTCCAGATTTGAACCAGAGAAGTCAGGTTAGCCCAATGATGTCAGGTTCTCAACTGTCTCTCTGGAAAATTGGAACTGACTTTCACCCCACTGAGTCCATACCTGTACCCTCAGAAGCCTGATTTCTCAAAGTCCCTTCTGAATTTTATGGTTGGTTTTGTGATACATACATTTTTCCCAGAATCATTTTACCCTGGATTTTAGAAGTTCATTATAAAAACAATTGGAGAAGACAACTGTTGCTAAACAAGAAAATTAAAACCTCATAAAAGCCCACTGAAGACATTCATTGTTATCTATTATTTCATACTATTTATTAAATGCTACTCTAGCCCTGGCTGGTGTGGCTCAGTAGATTGAGCACCAGCCAGTGAACCAAAGGTTCGATTCCCAATCAGGGCACAAGCCTGGGTTGCCAGCCAGGTTCCAAGTAGGGGGCACACAAGAGGCAACTACACATTGATACTTCTCTCCCTCTCTTTCTCCCTGCCTTCCCCTCTCTAAAAATAAATAAATAAAATCTTTACAATAAAAAAATGCTACTCTAGGCAAGGCTAATGTTTAATGCTGAGGATTCAGTAAAAATTATGAATATACATCACCAAATATATATCACCATCTTTACCCTTATGGAGCTTAAATTCTAGAGGGGAGATGGTCATACCCGGGCAAATATATATAAATTATAGTTATGGTGAGTGCCACAGAGAAAAAGTACAGGATGCAAAGCAGTCATGTTAACTAGGAGGACTTGACCTAATTTGGGAAATATTTCCTTCCATCTTTGTTCTAGGATATTTTTTATATACTGTCTAGATAACATGTGACTTTCTCATGCTGGAATGCTGTTATTTCTCAGTAAGCTCTATGAGACCTGTCTCTCTTGCTCACCTCTGTGTGGCCAGCACCAGCACAGTTCCTTGTCACCCAGTGGGTACTTTTCTAGCTGCAAGTAATACAGTCACACTTGAGCTCACATCAGCAAAAGGGGAATTTTAAATAAGAACTTTGGCCTCTTGGTCGCCTTCCTCTCTGGTACACTGAGGAATTAGAGAGTCTTCTTACACTCTGCCACCTCAGGTTCCCAGTGGTTCCTTGGGCCGCTGACTCAGCCCCTCCTGAAAGTCGTGAGATGAACAAAGAGCTGCTTGGGGTGCACACTGGGCAGTGGGGGCCAGCAAACATTTATCGAGTATGTGGTATTGTGTCGGGCCCTGTGCTGGTTCTGCAGGGTTACTCGGGTGAGTGGGGAACACAGCATGCCATCAGGAAGTTCCAGAAGCAGGTCGAGTATAGGTCAGAGGAGTGTCAGCACAGAAGTTGGCCAGGCACCCACGGAGTGCCTAACTCAGCCTGGAGAGGGGTCAGGAGGGAGCCCTGGAGTGGGTGTCATTATGCTGATTCTTGCCTTCATTCTGTTGTCTTCTCTTTACCATTATTTTAAATTTTTTTATAAAGGAGCTATACTAAAAAGGTTTATTGTTAAGCTTTGAAATGAGTAGGTCCCCAAATTAAGGCCTACTCCATGATGTCTATTCCAGAAGTAGCTGGAAGCTGTCTCATGAGAGCCCCTAAGGCACTTGAGCCCCCCCTCCCTTGAGCAGCTTCAGAGCTTACCCCTTCCTGCCCCCACCCTTCAGCAGGACTCAGGACTGATGGAAATGGATGGAGCCACCAAGAGCCAGCCACCAGCTTTTGTTGGCAATGAAATGCTCCAGGCATATTGTCTGCCTGAAAACTGGGAGGCGGGGTCCTTGAAATTGGACAGCCCTCTATTCACTCCACAAACCCTGATTGGGCACCTTCTATACTCCCAACTGTGAGTTCGGAAATGAGAACACATTGCAGCAGGAGCTGGTCATACTCTGTGAGAGAGAGGAGGAGACAGCTTTCGTGACAGGCAGATAGAACCCGACCGCCCTTGGGGTGGAGTTGACCCAAGCACCTCAGAAGTTCCTGGTGCTCAGAGGCCCTTCCTCTCATGGGACTGTCTCTCGGCCCCTCTGGACTTGGCTTCAGGCACCCCCAGACCTTCATGCCTGCACTGCTGCCTGAGGCCTCCCCCACACCTTGAGGTTGTTTCTCAGTTCAGGCTCATACCTAGGGACCCCTTTAAGTTTTACTTTTATTTAAATTTAATTTCTTAAATTAAAGGGAGTGGTCTCTCTTTTTCTTTTGACTTTTTTGAGCTAAATTGAAGTACACTAAACTGCACATAGTTAATGTGCAATCTTAAGTTTCTTTTTAGCTTTTTCTTTTCATTTTCTTTCTTTCTTCACAGTTCATTTGTCCAGGTCACTTATCCTGCATTCTGACTTTAGACAACTTCAGTCCCATGGTGGTGTTTAACCTGGTCTTCTGTTCTCTGTATTTCCTGAAATTGGTACCGTATTTTTCAGACTGTAAGACTCACCTAGATTTTAGAGGAAGAAAAGAGGAAAAAATTTTTTGAAGCAAAAAATGTGGTAAAATATTTAATAACATAAATAACATAATATTTCACTAATGTAAATGTAAACAGAACTCAACAGCAGCATTAACAACCATTATTCCTCCCAAATGGGCAGGTGAGCATCTTATATCCAAAAAATATGGTAGTTAAATCTAGATCTTGATCTAATTCAGTCTTGATTTTTTGAGGCAGGGCAAGCCACTTCTTAAGGAAGGTTGAGCTCTTTCATGAATGAGTGCCTCCTTTTCCTGCTGTGGGGAGTGGGTGTGTCTCTCCACGGGGAGACAGGCTGCACTGCTCTTTCTAAGCTGCCTGAGGAAGCTCCTTATGACAGCTGCCTGCAGGGCTCCAGAGGCAACTCCAGCAGGTGCCAGGCTGTGTGTACAGGAGGCAGCAAGATAGTTAGGAAGGGGCAGGAGTGTGAATCATGATGAGGGGCTCTGCCCCTCACTGACCGTGTGACCCTGGACAAGTCACCTACCACCTTTGAGCCTCAGAGTCTTCTTTTGCATGGTGGAAACAGTGCAGGAGCCTCTGCTTCGTGCTGGGCTGCTTTAAAAGACAGGGCTCTGAGGGATTCAGCTGCCTTTGGTCACCTTCCTTCCAGGTACTCTGGAGTCTGAGAGTCCTCTTCAATGTGAGTCCCTGAGCCAAGCGCAGATCCACATACCAGGGCAGTCGGCCAAGTGCTGAGTTGAGCCCCTTCCTGTTGCTGCGTTGAACTGAGAAGCTGGTGTCTGGTCAGTGAGGTGACCACTGTTGGAACAAAAATTCAAGTTTCAGATTGCATCTGCCGTAAAGAGAGAGTCTGGCCCCCTGAGACATATCTGGTGGAGGTGACAGCCCACAATAGGAAACTGAGTTTCTGCAGCTTGTGTTACAAACTATGATCACAACTAGGCTTAAAAACAAGCATAAAGCCCTGACTGGTGTAGCTCAGTGGGTCGGGTGTTGTTCTGTAAACATAAAGGTCTCCAGTTCGATTCCTGGTCAGGGCACATGTCTGGGTTGCAGGCCAGGTCTGATCAATGTTTCTCTCCCTCTCTTTCTCCCTCCCTTCCCCTCTCTCTAACAATAAATACATAAAATCTTTTTAAAAAAATACATAGAAAGAAAATAGGAAGGAAACTGTCTTCATGTGCAGTGTGTATCATTTAGGTGGTGGGGTTACATGTGACTTTTAGTTTCACTTTTCTGTGCTTTCCAGATTACCCTCTCTTTACCTGAAATTATTCCTGAGCCTGTTGAGGGCTGAGCTTGTCTGGCTGTGGGGAGGGACGGGGGTGAGCCCCTGTCTGCCGGCCTCAGGTGGAAGGGAACATAGGCCAGCTTCCTCTGCCTGGGCTCCATCACAATAACAACAAATTAAGTCAGCGGCATCAACTGCTACTATTGTAGCAAGTGACCCTAGGTGTTCTCTCTGCCAGTAGGTTCCCACAGCAGTTCCAGCTGGATTGTTTTTTGATACATCCTGTTCTACTGAAGCCGTAAATGAAACATCTCTCTAGCATTCACCCTAATTTTTTTTCAGGTCTTAGTACCCTGCAAAGGAAGCCTGACAAGCAGTGTTCAGTCTACCTGTCAGTTCGAGTCCTATGTTTTGAGACCAGTGGAAGAACACTTTCAGACCTTAAATGGAAAGGTATTCATTTCTTTGTGAGTCAGCCAGGGCTGCTCACGCAGTGTTCAAGTGGGGTAGATGGGAGAGAATCCTGCCTGTCACTCTTCGTATGTATGAATGATGGTTTTGACATGCACTGCAGCACTGTGGAATAGTGTCGGAGGGCCCACTGCCTCTGAGGGAGGAGGAGGTGGGAGTGCTGGGCAGTGACCCGAGAGTGAGGAGGGAGAGGCTGGGCGCATCCCCTCCGTCCACCTGGCCCTGCCACTGCGGTGGGCTGTCCCTGCCTGACATGCCTCCTCCTTGTGATCCTGTCAGAGTAGGCTGTTGCATCCCTCTGACATTGAAAGCTCATTGGTTTCTTGGCCACAAATTGTAGATTAGGGGTGGATTTTTAATTTTTTAAGAACTTTGCTTTGAAATAATCTTTATCACACATAAAGTTCAATAAAGTACAAAGAACCCTCATATACCCTTACCCTAGATTGGTCAACTGTTAACATTTTGGCCCCATTTGTCTTATCACTATGTATAATACACATGAATATTACTTTTTCTGAAACTTTTTCAGAAAAAAATTTCAGACACCATGTTCCTTTCCTCCAAAACAATTCAGTCTGTTCCTTGCACCACCACAGCGCAGAGACCACACTCAGGAAGTTTAACATCAATGGGGTGCTGCCCTCTGATACACTGTTCCCACCCAGCATGTGCTCACTGCACTGACAGTGTCCTTACAGATGCAGGTCACAGAACACCTTTTTAGTTCTCTTCCACTTGGAGAGTGCCTCAGTCTGTCCCTATCTTTAATGACATGGACATGTTTGGTTTGCCTTGTGGACTGTCCCTCAATGAGGGTTCTCAGATGCTCCCTCATGATTAGATTGACAGTTACGAAGTTTGGAAGGAATGTCTCCGAAGGGTGTGTTATCTTTTTCAGTGTTTCCTGTCAGGAGGCACGTGATGTCAGTCTATCTCGTTGTCAGTGTTAACTTCGAGATACGCATTTTCTTATTTAACTGGACACCAGCAGGTCCTGACAGAGGGAGGTTCCATTCCTAGTCAGAACTGTCCACGGTCTCCCATGGTTGGGAGAGGGCCACATTACCCTTCTCACCAGGTTGGTACAGCGTAGTCTCTCCAGCCCTGAAGCCGGGGCTCGTGGGCCCTGTGTGAGGAAGACAAGGGAGGGATGGGGCATGGGATGGCCCGGATGCTGGTGTGTGGGTCAGCAGCCTGTGGCTCACGAGTATTGCCACCATTTTCCTGCTAGGGATCTGCTCACCACAGTCGCCAGTGCCTTGTTAGTTTTTGTGTTCCCTTCGGGGCACCCAGACCTGCAAAGAGAGCAGAGCAGTCAGGCTTCTCAGGATGGGTCTGCACTGGGCACCCTGCCCACCGTGGCCTGAGTGGTGAGCCACAAAGGGGGCCGCAGTGTGCGTTGTCCAGCCCCACGTGTGATGTAGCAGCGGTCACTTTGGTCTCTCGTTCAGATAGGAGCGCACGCTCACTTCTCTCCTGCAGGTGCAGGTTTCCTGTTGCTCTAAAGAACAGCTTAGCGCTGCTTCTGTTGTAGCATTTAAAAAGGACCCAGGTCCTATGCAGCCACAACTCAGGGGGAACAGAGAGGAAGGAAAAACATTTTAGTATCAAAAAGCAAAATAAAAGAATAACGAAGAGAGGCAGGTCGGGCAAAGTGCTGTATCGGGGTCTAGGGCTAGAGGGGTTGGCGGTCACTACTGTCCAGTGATGCAGTCATGCGTCTCTTGTTGCAGGATGTCTTTATACAAGGAAACAGGATTAAATTAGGAGCTGGTTTCACCTGTCTTCTCTCAGTGCCCATTCTCTTTGAAGAAACTTTCTACAATGAAAAGGAAGAAAGTTTCAGCCTACTGTGTATAGCCCATCCATTGGAAAAGAGAGAGAGTTCAGGTATTCTGGGAGAAAACCCTTTTCTCATGCTTTGGAGAAATGTGTTTGTTGAACTTCCTCCTGGCATAACTGTTACAAACACCCCATAAGGAGCCCACTAGAAACCTGCCTAATGGTTTATATAATCCCCCATAGAACTTAATTGCAAAGTCATCTTGAGCTGAACGGTGGACTGGGCTGCTGCATGTGGTTGTGCAGTTTGGATATTAAACAATTCCAGGAGGCAGTATTCCTGTAGACCCCAGTGTGGATGTTGCCCCCTGGAGTTGAGCAAAGTCACAGCCCTGGCTTTGTCTCTGGGCCTCAGCTTTTGGGCTTGCTCCTGCAGAATTATTATCCACCAAGCCCCACTGTGGTGCCTTTTTAATAAATAATGATTCTTCAGTTCCTCCAGGAAATTGAGATAGCTATATGCCAAGTGCATGCTAAGGCTCTTACTGTCAGAACTTAGGGCTTCTTCACCAGACCCTCATGCCCATGGTCCCAAGTTGTCCAGGTTTGGTCCCAGGAAAGGGTTCCAAGAGGACCAGGCTCTCTGGACCCTGGGTTGTCCTGTAACTAGGCTAGGCTTGGGCAATATCTTAACATAGGTTGTCCTCCTCTTCCCTGGAAGATGGGACCCCAGACCCTGGGGAAGGAGGGCAAGGCTGTGGCACACCCCTGTTAGAAACAGTGAAAGCTTCAGGCAGCATGACCCTCTGTCTTTTTTTTTTTTTTTTTCAGAAGAGCCTTCAACATCCTCAGATTCCTTTTCCCTGAAAACCATCGAAGATGTGAGAGAGTTTTTGGGAAGACACACAGAAAGATTTGATAAGAACATTGCCTCTTTCCAGCGAACATTCAGGGAATGTGAAAGGAAGAGTCTCCGTCATCACATAGTCAGTAGCTGTGTCTTGCTTTGCAGGCATGCCCGGTCTCTAGCCAGTTTAGAGCCCCAAGATCCCTCTCCGTTCACTCTGAAGCTTTGCTGTCTCCATCATTGGAAGTTTTGTTGAAATGTTTCTTTCTAACTATAGAAGTAGCACAAGCCACACCCTGACTGGTGTGGCTCAGCGGGATGGGCGCATCCTGCAAAACAAAGGGTCACCGTTTGATTCCTGGTCAGGGCACATGCCTGGGTTGCAGGCCGGTCCCCACTTGGGAGCATGCGAGAGGCAGCTGAATGGTGTTTCTCTTGCACATAGCTGTCTCTCTCCCTCTCTTTCTCCTTCCCTTCCCCTCTCTCTAAAAATAAATAAATAAAATCTTTAAAAGTTAAAAAAAAAAGACAGTAGCATAAGCCACTGCAGAAAACTTGAAAATCACAGGAAAATATAAAAATGACCATTATGGTTCTGTCTGGTGTGGCTCCATTGGTCATCATCCCACAAAGCAAATGGCTGCCAGTTAATTCCTAGTCGGGGCACATGCCTAGGTGGTGGGTTCAAGTCCCCAATCAGGGCACATAAGAGAGGCAACTGATCAATGCTTCTCTCTCATATTGATATTTCTCTCCCTCTCTCCCTTCCCCTCTCTCTAAAAATAAGTAAGTCTTTTTAAAAATTAATATTATCATCTGTGTTAACCCCAAGAGGAATTTTTTCTACTCCTAATGCATATACACCTAAAAAAAGAGTCAAAAAATCACATAACTGATATGATAAGTTTGCATTAGCACTTAAATTTGTCACCCAGGAAATACATCTTGTGAAATGTTTTCTTCACTCCAGGACACGTTGCATGTCCTGGGTTTGGCGCTATGGCTTTGGATTTCGAGAGTGACCTGTCTCTCTACTCTTGCACAGGACTCTGTGAATGCTCTCTACACCAAATGCCTCCAGCACCTTCTGAGGGACTCTCACCTGGTAAGCAGTGGGAATTTCAAAAGAGAGAATTGCAGTTTGCCCATGTGCAAAGCCAAGCTCTTTAACTGTGCTTTCCTTGTCTTCTAGAAAATGCTTGCCAGGCATGAGGCCCAGATGAACCTGATGAAGCAAGCAGTAGAGGTAAGAGCCAGAGCAGTGAGGGGAGAGAAGAGGGCAGTGCTGTGGGCTCTTCTTGTTGCCCCCACACCATGAACTGGGGTTCATTGATTTCCAGATGTACGTCCAACATGATATTTATGATCTGATCTTTAAATATGTGGGGACCATGGAGGCAAGTGAGGTAGGTTCTAAATCTTCATCACCTAGGGTGGAAGCCTTATTCTGTCCTTTCTAAGAAATTTGAAGCTTCGTTAAAATCTGTTGCTAGGATGCTGCCTTTAACAAAATCACAAGAAGCCTTCAAGATCTTCAGCAGAAAGATATTGGTGTGAAACCTGAGTTCAGGTAAGGGCTTGCACCACAGCAGCGTGGCATCCTCAGAGGCAGGGGTGCCGTTTCCCCTGGAAGCAGGGCTGTAGTGGCGGCCACAGGCTGATTTAACTTGGTTCGTACAAAGGAGCAGTGCAGTTACTGGTGACCGAAGATAAAGGGCTGACACTGGCAGATGACTGTTTTAGTGGCTGTCACTCTCCTGCACCCAACTGCCCACATGCCAGCTGGGAGGGAGCTAAAGGAGACATGGTTTTGCACAGTTGGTCTCTAGATAGGCTTGGCATGCAGATGTTCCTCCTCATCTGCCCGCCTGAGGGAACCCTGCTAAAGAGGCACCTCTTTTTGAATTAATTTAGCTTTCATGAGGATAAAAATATATCTAAAGTGTTCATGTTTAAACTCCTTTTCTTCCCCCTTTGGGCTATTTCACTCTGGGGCTAAGGACTTTTGGTTTGTTTCTTTTTCCCTAATTTTATGGTACTGTCATATCCCTGGACAGCCTGAATGAGACATTTAAAACTACTGTGTTTTGCCACTGATTCAAGTCAGATGGCTTCTGAGTTTCTATTTTTATTTTTCATTATTTGTTATAAGTAAGGTAAATCAGAGGCATGTTATTAGACCAGAGAGGAAGGACCCTCATACTGTGGTCTTAAGTTGTCACTTGCCAAATTATTTTACAGCTTCAACATACCCCGTGCAAAGAGAGAACTGGCTCAACTGAACAAATGTACCTCCCCGCAACAGAAGTTGGCTTGTTTGCACAAGGTGGTGCAGCTCATCACACAGTCTCCTAGCCAGAGAGGTTTGTGCTAGTGAAGGGCCAGCCTGGGGGCAGGACAGCATCCATCCAGGTGCAAATGTCTGTTAAGGAGCAGTGCTGTCTTACAGGAGCACACAGTCCCATATCCAGCATGAGTGTCCTGGGGTCTGTTCTGATGGGTGGGGACAGGTGTGTTACAACTAGGGTAAGAAAATGGTGGCCAAGGAACATCAGCCTCAGAAATGAGCCAAGCTGGTGATGGAAATGTAGAGGCTCAGTGGTTTGTCAGACTGTTTGCCCTCATTTTGTATATGTTTAAAATTTTTCCATTATAAAAAGTAAAACAGAATAAGCCAAGAAAAAGTAGTGAGGAGGCAGATTTGTGTATGCAGATGGGGGATGATCTTCAAAGTATAGTAAATGGCAGAACCAGGAGTGTGTGGGTCACCCTCAGCAGCACTGCAGAAGGCGGGGCGCTGCTACATAGCCACATGCACAGTGGTGAGTTCATAGACCATCTCTGGAAAGATACACGGGAAGCGGTGGCAGTATCTGAGGGGGAGAATGCCCAGGTGACAGGGAGGGGACGGATAGTCACAGTTTGCTCTTTTGTGCTGTTGGAATTTTTAAACATGTGAATGGATTACTTAAACAAAATGTCAAAGTGAAAAAAATGAAGTCAGGCCACTGTCAGCATCACAGTGCATGAAACAGAATGATCTCCAGAGGAAAGAGGCTTTCAGCAGAGGCTCTGGGCACACCTTCTCTGTGTGTCCACTGTCCCTAACCTCCCTGGGCTCTGCCCATCCAGGGAAGTGGCAAGGGCTGGTCTGCTTGGAGTTTCTTTCTCTGCACGTGTTCTGAGCATGCTGGGTGTTCGTGTTCCCCTGCAACCTGACTGGGCTGTGCTTCATCGGTTGAATGGTGGTGGGGAATCGATAACGATTGTTGGCCCATTGGAGTCTCATGGTGGCTTTGAACATGTTTTCTGTTGCAGTTAACTTGGAGACTGTGTGTGCCGATGATCTGCTGTCAGTCCTGTTATATTTGCTTGTGAAAACAGAGATCCCTAATTGGTAAAATTTTTTTGTTAAGATACTTTTTCAAAATGGCAGCACTGTGCCGTGGTGGTTTCAGTGTCGCTCTAGGAAGCTGAGCATCTCCCATGAATCAGGTGCTGTGCCTGCCCCACCTTCATTAGGCAGGGGTGGCTCCCCTTTCATTTGCAGGTGGGGAAGCTGAGGTCCAGAGAGCTTACCTTTCTCATTCTGGAACCCGCAGCTGGTCAGGGGCCAAGCAGGAAGCCGTGGGGCCCCAAGCTTTTCTTCTTCCCATAGGAACCCACAATTCACAAGAATCAGCTTTCTAAAAAAAATATCCTATTCCAGGAAAATAAAAGTAGTTTTACTTATTTTCCTAATTGCACACACACTCTGAATAGAAAGCAAGGGGGCAGCAGTCATTGTTCCCTGGAGCTAACCAACTTCAGTCACCTAAGCCAACAGCATTGCTTCTGCCAGTGTTGTGTACAGCAGTAAAACTTTTTTCCCTTTTGTTAGGATGGCAAATTTGAGTTATATCAAAAACTTCAGATTCAGCAGCTCAACAAAAGACGAATTGGGATACTGTCTGACCTCAGTTGAAGCTGCGATTGAATATATCCGGCAAGGAAGCCTCTCGGTTAAACCACCGGTAGGATCCCCTTCTGCCCTAGCCTTTTTTGGGGGGTATCATGGCAGTTTGATAAGGTTCTAAGGTTGGTGTGGGGGGTGGGATTCTTAAATGGCCTCCTAAGAATGGGGCCTCAGCTGTTTATGGGCCCTGAGGCTGGACAGCTGCCCAGCACACTGAACACTGAGTACCCAGCTGGCTGTGAAAGTTTGTGGGTTTTCATTGGGACTTACATTGTTAACACCCTGCCTCATTGCTCCTCAGCACCCTCAAAAGCCCATGGAGAGAGGGGAAGCTAGAAAGAGTTGATTTGGATATTTTGACCATGACAGGCAAGAAATTAGATAATTGTGTGCAATTTTAGGACTCAGTGGCCTTATTATTATTTCCTTGGTTGGTTGGTGAGCTCTGGCTAAAGGAGGCAATTATATTTCCATGTGAACTGTGAGGATCTTAAACCAAGATTGCAGTGCTGGTCTGTTTCACCACACCCCAACCAGCAGTGTGACAGCGCTCACAGAAGTCACAACCTTGACCTTAATAGCTGAAGAGATTTCTGTATTGCAGCCAAGGATCCTGAGGGTTGAACATTTACTTGATCCTAATTTTCTCTGATGTCAGAATTTCCCAAAACAGTAAGTTAGAACATCTGGCAAAGAACATCAGCCTGTCCAGACAGGTGCGCTCAGGTACAAGCAGTTTCTCTGAATCCATTCATCAACATGTTTATGTGTTTCCCAGTCTTTCCTATCCATGTGTACTATATATAATTGAAATTATATTGTATATAGCATTGTATGTTGTTTTTCCCCTAAAAGAACAGTTTTATTTTTCTTATTAGAAGACTTAATATTTTCTTTTAAACAGTATTTGCTATCTAAAAAGTTACAGTGAAGAAAACAAAAGCCTCCTGTAAACTCACTAGCTGGGGGTAGCTTTATTTATGTCTTTTTTCTGGGCTATCCAATTGTATTTTTAACCCGATTTTGAGGTTATGCCACACTTGTTGGCACGTCGCCCTGCAGCATCATGGTGCCTGGTGAAGAACAAAGTTCTGCTCTTGTCCAGGTTTTGATTTGGTGTCCCACCTCTCTGCAGGTGAAATTAGATGCTATCCAGCAGACGTGGCAGGCTAGGACTCTTGGGAAAGGTGTTTCTTAGGTAGAGGAAATCACTAACATTCCGGAATAAACATGTGTGTGCACTCCAGTGCACAGGTACCTGCAGAATCAGTTGCTGCTCACTTTCACAGTAAAGGAGTAAGATTTTTTAGTTTGAAAATCATTTTGTGTGAGGTTCTAGGAATGTGGATTTGGGTTTGTTTGTTTGTTTTATGTGATCATAATTAAATCTTTTATTTTATTTTTCTTTCAATTTTACTTTGTATTAGTTTCAGGTATACAGCATGGTGGTTAGATAAACCTTAAATAGTGTTCCCCTCGATATCCAGTACCCAACTGTCACCATGCACAGTTATGACAATATTAATGACTGCATGTCCTGTGCTTTACATCCCTGTGACTTTTGTAACTACCAATTTATACTTCTTAATCCCTTAACCTCTTTCACCCAGTCCCCCAACCCCTCTGACAACCAGCAGTCCACTCTCTGTCTGTAAGTCTGTTTCAGTTTTGTTTATTCCTTTATTTTGTTCTTTAGATTTCACATGTAAGTGAAACCGTGTGGTATCATGCCCATCGGTAGATGAGTGGATGAAAAAGCTGTGGCTCATGTGTACAATGGAATATTACTTGGCCATAAAAGGCAATGAGATCTTACTATTTGCAACAGCACGGGTGGACCCAGAGGGTATTATGCTCAGTGAAGTAAGTCAGCCTAGGAGTGTGTTGTTCCCATGGCGCTTGCAGCGGTTTTCTGTGATGGTCCTGCCCTTCTTATTGGCCTTTCCCTCTTATTGGTCTGAGAAGACACCCTCTTCCTGGCTCTGCCACCCTGCAGAAGGTTACCTGATGCTCCTTGGTGGGGCTGGGTGTGCCCTTGCCAACAGGAGGGAGGTGTTCGCCTCTTGGAGGGGCTCCTGTCCCCTGCTCCCCCCATACTATGGCATGGCTATCCTGTTTTCTTATTTTCCAAGTAGGTAGAGAGGCTAACACTTCAGTCAGAGTGTGAGGAGGTGGCTGATCAAACAGTATCAGTGAAATTGCCACACCTACTTGGACTTCAGAAAATACTCCAAGTGGGACTGGCTGGGGGAGTGTTGGAGGAGAGGCCCCTCTCGTTCTGGTGTTGATTTGAGTCTAGCACTTCTGTTTGCGGTCAGGCAAGTCTGTTTGTTTCTCTAAGCCTCTGTGCATCTTCCTGTGTACACTGGGGAGAATGCAGTATATTTCATCCCTTCCTAGGTGGTTATGAGAATCAATTGAAATATTTGAAAGGGCTTCTTTGAATTGTGAAGTGATACCAGTGCCCTTAGTTGCTTTTCTAGTACCCCTGCATCTGGGTGCCAATGTCTCCTGGTCCTCCGGAACATTCTGCACGGGTGTGCAGTGGGGTGTGAAACACAGCCCCCAGTGTGCTCCCCTAGTCAGGCTGCCTGAGCCTGGTCTTGCCTTTCTAGATGGGAGGTTGTTGGTCGCATCAGATAATGTGATAAGGTGTGTGTCATCACGGCTTGCTGAGAAGCCCCTCCCTTGGGTCTTCAGTGGATCAAGCCTGAGAGATGCTCTTCACCTTGTTGACAGAGCGGGTATTAATGGCTTCCTTGTCCCCCACGATGCATGCCGAAAGTCCGTCTGCGGTGTTGCCTCTGCCTGAGCTGCCGACGGCTTTCTTCTCAGAAGTGTAGTTCCCTCTAGGGATGTTTGAGGCCACTGCTATGTGTTGGTGTCGTTTGTTTTCAGGGGAGCCCAATAGTGTCTCTAAAATCAGTAAACTCATCCTTGGGTAAAGATTATTTTTTTAATGGCAGGGGAATGGGCTGTGCAGGGTAGAATGATGTTTGAGAAGAAGAGGCCAGGACAGCTCAGGTTTCCATCCGGAGGGTAATGGAGTGAGCATACAACATCCATACTCTGAGATGGCACATTCCACACACATGCACAGCCCATGTGCTGCCCCTGTCCCAGATCCCCTCTGGGAAACGGTCCTCAGAGTGAGACAGCCAGAAAGCCCTTAGCCCAGACTGATGAGGGTCAGCTGCCTGGCTCCGTGAGAGGGAAAGCGAGGCACTGCTGACCCCATTCTAGGGAAGTGGCAAGGATTGTTCTGGGGTCCTCTCTTTTGAGGATCTACACTGACATTTTGTCACATGTGACAAATGGACTGTTACTGGGTTTTTCCTGCAGGAGTCTGAGGGATTTGGTGACAGGCTGTTCCTTAAGCAGAGAATGAGCTTACTGTCTCAGATGACTTCAACTACCATTGACTGCCTCTTTAAGGTAAGACAGAAGGAGGACAGAAGGTAAGTCTCTGTAAGGAGCACCTCACTGTGCAGCATCTCTAAAGAACCTACAGGCAGTCTGGTAGTTAAACACTGAAGTTCACCTGGCTCCAGAGTGGGGTGTAGGGATGCTGAGGTGTCACAGGCAGGGTCCACACGTGTCATCATCCCCAGGGCTTGTGCTTTGCTGTTCTGTAGCAGCTCTGGATTGCTCACCGAGGGCCCTCCACACGTGTAACCCTCTGCCCAACTGCCCTCCCGTATCTATTTGGCAAAACATAGTTTGTCCTTAGGCCAGCTCAGGGGCACTTTATTGGTGGTGCCTGCAGTGCCAAAGGACTCTTTTCAGCTCCAGGAGCCCCGCATTGCTGGTGTCTGGGAGCACGTCACCTAGCGGTGCTTTGATCATGTGGCATCATGTGCAGATACTCTCTGCTCAGATCTCTGCTGGGAGGCTGCCCTGCCAGGCAATCAGCAAGGCCTCGGTGAGGGCAAATCTCCTCAAAAGGCCACCCAGAGCAGAGTGGGTTCCATGGAGGCCCAGAGTATCCCCTGGGACCTGTGCTCCTTCCCCCCAGAACATCTCACTCCCTGGGGGAACCTCCAGGAATCGCAGGGGTGAGCCCTGCGCCTTTGGTTGTGATGGGGTTGCCTGCTAGTTGCAGCTGTTGCCTCCCCACCAGGCCGAGGCTCTATCAGATACCAGAGGACAGGACCCAGGCCTGTTCTACTGAGGTGTCGAAATCCACACTGAGTTCTGGATGTATTGCTTCCCTACTCCTGCTGCTTTGGGAATTTTGTCATGTTGTTGCTTCTTAATTATGGGAACTTTCTTACATTTGCTTATTACAAAAACAAAACAGTGGTGTAATGAACTAACCCCAGATAGCCATCTCCCAATCTTAGTTCATCCCTTCCCTGCCCACTTTCCCCATCCATCCCAATTATTTTGAAACAAATCCCAGAGAGCAGATCAGTCTATCACACATGCATACATAAGTGTTTTCTGCAAGGACACTTGAAAAATTCACAGCTCAGAAAGCAAATAATTTCTTAATACTGATAGTATCTTTGATGTCACTTTCTAGCACATTGCTTTAGGTAACCAAAAGGAAGTGGAAAGACTTCTGAGCCAAGAAGACCAAGATAAAGATGCCATCCAAAAGCTGTGCCACCCTCTGTGCTTCTGCAGTGACTGTGAGAAACTTGTCTCCAGGTAAGAGGCTCCCCACGGCGGCTCCGTGTGCCAGGAAGCAGGATACTCAGGGCCTTGGTGGAACTCTTCTGCTGCTTTCCCATGCGATTTTGAATGAGGCCCTTATCTTAGCAGCTCTCAGTTTTGTCTGCTGTATGTGGGGGGTGAGGGGGTGCTCATCTCTGCCTTTTGGAGCATCGGATGGAATAAAGATCATAAAAGTCCTTGGCAAGCCATTGGGCTCGATACCCGGGTAGGCAGATAGAGAGCCTGCCTCAGCCTCAGCCAGTGGGATTAGGATGGGAGGAATGTCAGCTTCCCCCAGTAACCTTTTTGGTCTCCCCTTAACCTCGTCAGGACCTTTTGCTGGGTGTCAAGGCCTAGAGAGTGGGGCTGCAGAGAAGGATGCTAGAACTAGATGCCCAGTTCCCCACCCTGTGAGCAGGGGCTGGGTTATCTCTAGGACACTACAGGAGAGGTCCAGCTTGGACGTACTCTGAGACCTCTCTTGCAGTCCAAGACCCTGGTACTGCCAGCTCGTCAGGAGGAGGCTCTGCCATGCCATTCGTAGGGTGTCTTTTTCTGTGTCTTTTCTCTACTTCAGGAGGCTGAATGATCCCTCAGTTGTCACTCCATTCTCCAGAGATGACAGGGGTCACACCCCACTCCATGTGGCTGCCCTCTGTGGTATGTGGTCTTGGGCTGGCCTGTTGTGGGTGTCACGGCAAATGGATGGAGCGAAGGACGGCCCAGTAGAGGCCTGAGGCCTGGCTGACGGGTGCAGTGGAGTTAGGAAGTGGAAGGGGCTGCAACACGGGTCCACCCCCAGGGGCTCTGCTGGAACAGAAAAGCAGACGGTGTGCAGGCCTCTCTGTGCTGCTCTGGGGCTGACAGAGCACTTACCCACACTCTCACTATGTGGGCACCTGCCGCTGCCCTGGGCCAGTGCTCCAGGGAGGAAAGGCTTGAATCTAGCTATGTGAGAATGGTCTTAGAACTGTGGTTCTCATATCCCACTTTAAAAAGATTACGTTTACTGTCTTTTAAAGTACACAAAGCAGTAAACACAAATTTCTCCAGTATTGCCCACCACCCTTCTGTCCCCCAGAGATATAATTTTGATTTACACATACCTGGAATTTCCCTGCCTCTGTGTATGAATATAAAGTATGTGATATTGTGGGGGCCATTCTGTTCTGTACTGTGCTTTTTGCAGAACATTTCTCCCTGTCAGTATTTTTTAATGGCTGCACAGTATTCCTTCTTATGAACTGATGAACTGTGGAATCTTCTGTGGGCCTCTAAGCCTCTTCTTCACCACCATCTGTTGCTGAGAAGTGCACTGGGGCTAAGTCCCCTGGAAAAGCCACCCTGAATTACCTGGAACCTGCAGAGTATGACTTTACCTTAGCTCTGGTTTCTCTTAAGCAGAAGAGGGCACCCTGGCATATCTCATGCCAGGGAGTAAGAGGGTAAAATATTGCTCTGGCTCCACAGTTAGGCTTTGAAAAGCCTCTTCTCTTTCCTTCTCTGTGTGAAGTCCTTCTGTTCTGTAGGACAGGCATCCCTCATTGACCTCCTGGTTTCCAGAGGTGCTGTGGTGAACGCCACAGACTACCATAAGTCCACGCCGCTCCATCTCGCGTGTCAGAAGGGCTATCAGAGTGTGACGGTGAGCAGGGAGCAATGGGGCCACCCCACGCTCGTGTGTGGATGAGCCAGACTCTGCATTCTGGCTTTCCAGTCGTGCTGGCTGCACCCTTCTGCCCCACTGTGGCTGTGCTGTGGCCACACGGGAGGGCCTGCAAGTCTGAGGCCCCTCCACCCCTGGACAGAACTGTGAAGTTTAGATTCAAAGTGTCCTGATTATCTGGGGGTAGAGAGGTGGGGCTGTAGACTTTTTTTCTTTAATCTCTTAACTTTTTGTAAGGAAGGATGAGTGTGACAATATCATTTAACTGTAGAGTAAGTAAATAAGATTGCAAATGGAAACAAGTGGCTTCCCCATTATGAGACTACAGGCCAGGCTTCCAGAGGAAGTGTGTGCCTGCCCTGTGGCCTCGCTGCTGCTCATCCACTTTCTCCTCCCCTGGAAGCTGCTGCTGCTGCACTATAGGGCCGGTGCTGATGCGCAGGACAACAGTGGCAACACCCCACTCCACCTGGCCTGCACCCATGGTCATGAAGATGTAAGTGGTACTGCTGCCCCTGGCTGTGTTTGCCCTTTCCAACTTGTGAAGAGATGTGACTTTCTAATGGTTTAGTGTAGCATTCTGTGTTGATAATTATTGGAAGATTTGGTGTGTAATTTGTTTAATTAAAAAATTTTAAGTTTATTACAGATGCTATGTTGAAGGAACAAACCTAAAACTTCATTGCCCATTATCTTATTGTGAAATTAAGTTGTTCTCATTCATCCCTGCTACCATCTGACTCTTACCTTTGTTCATTTTCAGCTTTACTTTTTACTTTTTTAAAAAACATTTTATTTATTTATCTTTAGAGGGGAAGGGAAGGAGAGAGGAAGAGAAATATCAATGTATGGTTGCCTCTCATGCTTCTTCTGCTGGGAATTGGCCTGCAACCCAGGCATGTGCCTTGATTGGGACCACGGTTGTTTGGTTCACAGGCCTGTGCTCAATCCACTGAGCTACACCAGCCAGGGCACCTTTTACTTTTTTTTTGTACTCCCAAGGACTTTTATAATTTCTTTTTTCACTTCATATTTAACAGTGTGTCATTTTCCCTAAACATTCCCTCTCACTGTTCTCCTTCTGGTAACACACAGACAGATTTATACACACATAGGGTTGAGCCTGGGTTAGGTCGGTGACATGCAAAAATGAGACCCTCCCCTACACACCCTACATGTCTGTGTGCAGCTCACTTTCCTAATTCAACAACGCAGTATGGAAATTCTCTCAATCAGTAAACACAGATCCAGCTCCTTCTTTAATTGCTTACAGTGATCAGTTCTGTACATTGGAGCAGTGTTCCTAAGACTGTCCCTTGGTTCTGTGAGTTGTGCCAACACCTGTGAAGTGTGGTCCACCAGGGCAGTTCATGTGGCACTCTGGCCACGTTTTATTGGAAGCCAGTCATGTAAACACCCTCTACTTGGCATGAACCAAATCCTAAACTCCCAGAGGAAAGCAGGTGTTCAGCATGAACCACATTGTCATACAAATAGGTTAGGCACAGTGAGTCCCCTTATCAGGTAGGAGATTGTGGACATACCCCCCAAATCCAGGCTACCAAGGAATATTGCAAGTCAGGGGCCGACCCTGCAATCAGGCCTTTCAGGGGATAATGGTCTCTGGCCTGCCATGGTAATTCCTTTCTGTACATGGATACATCACAATTTTTTCAGCTGTTTCTTATGGATGGGCAGTTGAGTTCTTTTGGGAAAGTGATATGTCCTGATCAGGTAACCTGGCACCCTTGGGTTCTAACTCTCCGCTACTGCACAGCCACATGGTCAGTGCAGCCTGGATTGAACTGGGATCTGTGGAGCACCCAGACATTGCCCAAGGCTCAGCACATGAGTTAACTGTGGCATTTCCAAATTTCTTTGCAGTGTGTGAAGGCTTTGATCTACTATGATGTGCAGTCCTGCAGACTCGATATTGGTAACGAGAAAGGAGACACTCCCCTACACATAGCTGCGCGCTGGGGTTACCAAGGCATCATAGAGACATTGCTACAAAACGGAGCATCCACAGAGATCCAGAACAGACTGAAAGAAACGCCCCTCAAGTGTGCATTAAACTCAAAGGTAGATCTTTTTTTTTTCAGTCTCGGAGAAGGAATGTGACTTAAAAAAAAAAAATCAGTGTCACCCTGGCCAGTGTGGCTCAATTGGTTGGGCATTCTCCCACAAACCAAAAGGCCACTGGTTCCATTCTCAGTCAAGGCACATGCCTGGGTTGCAGGTCCAGTCCCTGGTTGGGGTGCATATAAAGGAAGCCAGCTGATGTTTCTCTCCCTCCCTTTCTCCTTCCCTTCCCCATCTTTTAAAATAAATAAAAATAAATAAAAACATAAAAATCAATATCCACAGATTAGGTCTTGGTGATGCTGGACAAGTTGCATTTGTACCAGAGGGCAGAACTCAGCCTGTACCCTCTCTGCTGAATTTGGAACCTGGTTGTTAATGGATTTTACTTATTTATATTATTCTGAGTTTTTCTTTGTGTTGTTTTGATAGCTACTCCCAGCAGTTTGCTCGGCCTCTGTGTAATATTGGTTTGTGAGCAAATGCAGTGGGTGGATACCAGACAGTAGCTCTACTGAAAGCGGAGACAGGGAACGGGACATGGAGGCAGTGAGGGCCAGAGCTCTGCTGTCCTGTGACTTTGTCCTCAGCTCCTAAAATCCTTATCCTAATCTGCCCAATTGTGAACACTGCCTTCATAAGTGATTTGTTAATGAACTACTCATCCTTTCCTGGGAGTAATTTCTGTGAACCTGTAGTCTTTGGCAACATGTGAAAGTGCTGACTTCATGAGCGGGTGGGGAGTGGTAGGCTTAGAGAGACCAGTTCTCTGCACCGCATCTCCCCAGAGGCTGAAGGCGTGCCTTCAGAAGAGCGTGTCTGGCCAGCTGGCCAGAGGAAGCATAGAGCCATGTGCAGGGAAGTCCCAGGGCATCAGGCTGATTAAACATCGTTGATCATGGCTCACATACACGATTCCATTTTAATACAAGTCTCCGGCTGTCTTCCTCTGCATGGACCCTCTCCTTGCCTCTTGATGTTTCACCAGCTTCCCTTTACAGTTTCCAAGTCTCTGCTAGGGAGGTCTTTCAGTTGTTCGTGCCATCTTCTGGGAGTAGCACAGTCTCTGAAATCACTTCATTAAGGTATTAACATAAAAAAACTGCACATATTTAATGTACAGATATATCTTGGAGATATCGCAGGTTCAGTTCCAGACCACCACAAGAAAGTGAGTCATACTCTTTTTGCTGGTGGAGGGTCTTGCCTTCAATTTATAAGAAACACAACATCTGTGAAATGTAGTAAAGCAAAACACAATAAAATGAGGTACACCCATATACAACTTGATGAGTTTGAGGGTAAGTACACACCTATGAGACCATTACCACAATGTAAGTTATAAACGCATCCATCACTGCCCTGACAGGTGTGGCTCAGTGGGTTGGGCATCATCCCACAAGGTGAAAGATGGACAGTTTGATTCCCAGTCAGGGCACATGCCTGGGTTGCCTGCCAGGTCCCCAGTAGGGGGTGCGTGAGAGGCAACCACACACTAATATTTCTCTTCCTCTCTCCCTCCCTTCCCTTCTCTAAAAATAAATAAATAAGTAAAATATTTTAAAAGTATATATCCATCACATTGACAAGTTTCCTATAGTCTTCTTTATTACAATGTTTATGTGTGTGACAAGAACACTTAAGATCTGCAGTAGCAGTTTTAGAAGGTGAAATCCCTGCTCCTGACCCCAGGGGGCGTCGAACCACACTTCCTGTGTACTCACAGGGTCTCTGCTTTGTAGCAGCCACAGCCCAGGGTACCAGGTGGTGCTGCCTATGGCCTGAGATGTCCAGGAGGGCTCCTCTACCCCTGTATCTTCTACCTAATGCCCCTTCCCAAGGGAGGTCTGCAGAGGGAAGGAGATAGCTGCCTGCTTGGGTCTATTCCGGGCTGCTTGTGAATGCCAGCGAAAAGGCCACACTTTATCCCTGTGGACAAATGGCCCTGAGGCTGGACAAGGCAGCCTTTGGGGCCCTTCTGTGGCTGGGCTTCTCTTGTCCTCTGAGCTCATTCATGGGAAACGCCAGCTGCTCCTTTCAGGCAGTAGGAGCAATGGTGTGGCAGAGGGAAGCCCAGACTTAATCAGTGTGATCCTGAGTAAGTGCCCCCCCCCCCCCCCAGGTTCAGGCCCTGGTTCCTCTGTCTCTCCCAGTATGTGGCTGAGCTGCCTGGCCTTCCAAGGAGATGGGCAGTCACTGGGGTGTTACAGATGATGAAGTTTTGGGGACCCATCTCATTCGGTACTTTGTCTCCTTGGTTCTCCTAGATTCTGTCTATAATGGAACACCACCATCTGTCCTCTGAAAGGAGGCAACAGTCTTCAGAGGTAAGTGAACAGGGCTGTCCTCCTTGGCCCTATTCATGACCAGGGCATCCTTGCTGGCCCTCACCTGTCTCTTTTTTTTTAAGCATTTTTTATTTAATTGTTGTTCAGGTACAGTTTTCTGTCTTTTAACTCCCATCCCAGCCCACCCCCCGCCCCCCAGTGCTCCCTACCTCCCTCCCATTTCCACCCCTGTTAGTTTTTGTCCATGTGTCCTTTATACTTGTTCCTGTGAATCCTTCCCCTTTTTCCCTGAAATTCTCTCCTCTCTCCCCTTAGGTCCCTGTCAGCCTGTTCTGTATTTCAGTGTCTTTGGTTATATTTTGCTTGTTTGTTTGTTTGGTTGTTTAGCTTCCTGTTAAAGGTGAGATCATATGGTATTTGTCTTTCACCGCCTGGCTTATTTCACTCAGCATAATGCTTTCCAGTTCCATCCATGCTGTTGCAAAGGGTAGTAGCTCCTCACCTGTCTCTTTTGTTCAGGCTGCTTTGCTGCAGGTCCCTGTGCCACCCCCTCAGCATTCCATGGACTCCATCAGCCAGGGGTCTTCCACCTCCAGCTTCTCCTCTGTGTCTGCCACCTCCAGACAAGAGGAGCCCAAGAAGGACTACAGAGAGGTAAGGCTCCCAGGTGGGAGGGCAGAAGGGGAGCTTCATGGCCTGTGTTATGGTGCTGGTTAAAGAGCCAGGGCCTGATGAGAGCTGCCCAGTGGGCCTACTCACTGTGATTGCAACAGCGGCATCTGCGGTGGCGGCGGCAGCACCCCAGAGAGGAGCCCAGGCTGTCCTCACCCTGATCGCCCTTCAGTCTGCTCTCTATGCAGCTCTTTGCTTTGTGGACAGTGGGTGCATGTGAAGGTAAGGGGGAATGTTGAGAAAAGTACAAGTCACCTATAGGTCCACTGATGTAAAATCATTTTACGAAGTAAATTTTCTCTGCCCTTACCTCCCACTCTATAAGTGCCCCTGTCAATCTGAGGTGGGTCCTTCCTGGCTTCTTGCAAAGTTTCTGTGGACATTTACATGCACTCATACATTGCATTTTGGAAAAGCTGGTTTAGAGCCTGGTTTTTTTACCCCATTTAATCTGTCTTATAGTTTGTCCAGCACCCGACCATAGCCATTGCATGGTGTGCCACCTCCATTCATTCCCCTTCGAATGGGAACCCTCACTGACTCTACCTGAGACCCCCCTCTCCTGTCACCCCCAAGCCCTGAATTGCTCTTAGAGGGCTTGTCAAGCTTGATGCAAAAGCACAGCAAAGAAAACCAAGAGACACACTCCAAAGTCTGACAGAGACTGGGGTTCATTCATGGGAGAGGCATCCCCCTCATGTACCCTCACCTAACAGATAATGAGAACTGAATATAGGCAGTTCTAAGGGGTGGCTGGCCTCCTAGGGAGGGCTTGTGCTTCAAGGTGGCCATCATCTCACTTTGCCACATAAATAGCAGTATATAGACCTTAAGTGGTATGAGTTCAGTGCACACTAGCACCTTCTAGGATGTCCTTGTCTAAGCAATATTAGGGATATCTTTGAAAGACACTGAATCAAGCCCTGTCTGATGTGGCTCAGTTGGAGCATCGTCTCACACACCATAAGGCTGAGGATTTGATTCCTCGTCAGGGCACATACCTAGGTTGTGGGTTCAATCCTTAGTTGGGACGCATATGGGAAGCAACCAATCCATGTTTTTTTTTCTCTCTTTCTCCTCCTCTCCCCCTTCTTTTCTCCCGCCCCCACTTCTTCTCTCTCTAAAATCAATAATCATATTTTTAAAAAATTTTTAAAGAAGATACTGAATCAAGACTCCATAAATCAGGAGACAAATGAGCTCTGACTGGTGTGGCTCAGTGGGTTGGGCATCATCCCACAAACTGAAAGGTTGCTGGTTTGATTCCCAGTCAGAGCACATGCCTGGGTTGCAGGCCAGGTCCCCTGGTTGAGGGCATACGAGAGGCAACTAATCAATGTTTCTCTTCCTCTTTTTTTTCCTCCCTTCCCCTCTCTAAAAATAAATAAACATGATTGTTTTTAAAAAGACAAAGGAGCCCTGGCTGGTGTGGCTCAGTGGACTGAGTGCCCACTTGCGAACCAGAAGGTCCTGGTTCACTTCTCAGTTAGGGTACATGGTTGGGTTATAGGCCAGATCCTCAGTTGGGAGCATGTGAGAGGCAACCACTCGATATTTGTCTCCCTCTCTTTCTCCCCTCCCCCTTTTCCTCTCTCTAAAAATAAATAAAATATTAGGGAAAAAAGACAAATGAAAGCTACTAGGCTTTCAGAATGTTTTTATTTTTATCTATTTTTTATTGATTGATTTTAGAGAGAAAGAAAGGGGGGAGAGAGAGAAACATCGATTTGTTGTTCCACTTATTTTTATGTGTTCATTGGTTGCTTCTTTTTTTTTTAATTTATTTTTATTGATGATGCCATTACAGTTGTTCTATTCCCCCCTTCATTCCCCTCCACCCTACCCCCCATCCCCACCATTACCCCCATTTAGTTTATGACCATGTGTCTCAAGTTCTTTAGATTCTATATTTCCCATACTATTCTTGCCCCCCCCATCTATTTTCTATCTACTGTCTATGCTACTTATTTTTGTACCTTCTCCCCCCTTCTCCTTCTCCCACTCCCCTATTGCTAGCCCTCCATGTGATCTCCATTTCTATCGTTCCACTCCTGATCTAGCTGTCCTTTTAGTTTGCTTTTGTTTTAGGTGTGGTTGTTAATAACTGTGAGTTTGCTGTCCTTTTAGTGTTCATGTTTCTTTAGCTTCTTTTTCTTAGATAAGTCCCTTTAACATTTCATGTAATAAGGGCTTGGTGATGATGAACTCCTTGAATTTGATCTTATCTGAGAAGCACTTTATCTGTCCTTCCATTCTAAATGAAAGTTTTGCTGGATAGAGCAATCTTGGTTGTAGGTCTTTGGATTTCATGACTTGAAATACTTCTTTCCAGCCCCTTCTTGCCTGTAAGGTGTCTTTTGAGAAATCTGCTGACAGTCTGATGGAACTCCTTTGTAGGTGACTGTCCCCTTATCTCTTGCTGCTTCTAGGATTCTCTCCTTCATTTTAATCTTGGGTAATGTAATGATGATGTGCCTTGGTGTGTTTCTTCTTGGGTCCAACTTCTTTGGGACTCTCTGAGCTTCCTGGATTTCCTGGAAGTCTATTTCCTTTGCCAGATTGGGGAAATTCTCCTTTATTATTTGTTCAAATAAGTTTTCCACTGGTGGCTGTTCCTTTTCCCCTTCTGGTACCCCTATAATTCGGATGTTGGAGCGTTTAAAGATGTCCTGGAGGTTCCTAAGACTCTCCTCATTTTTTTGAATTCTTGCTTCTTCACTCTTTTCTGTTTGGCCATTATTTGCTTTCTTCTGGTCCACTCCATTGATTTGAGTCCCAGTTTCCTTTTCATCGCTATTGGTTTCCTGTGCAATTCCATTCATTTTAATTAGTTTCGCCTTCATATGTTTCTCTAATTTGTGGCTATAATCAACTAGTTCTGTGAGGATCCTGATCACCAGTGTTTTAAACTGTGCGTCTGAGAGTTTTGCTGTTTCTTCATGGCTTAGATTTATAGGCTCTGGGGCTTTGAGATCTTCTTGAGCCATTTTTGGTCTGTTTGCACCCATTAAGTGTGAGGAGCAGAGCCCTGGACTCCCAGGTTGCTGGGTTGTGACACTGTATGTGGGGGCGTGGTCAAAGCGGGGAAATGGAGGCCCCCTCTGCTGCCACTTGCTGCTGGGGTTTGCTGGGTCCCGTCTAATCGCCCCCTCCCTCACTTGTCTATCTGTGCACGAATGCGGGACCACAGTCAACCCGCAGCCCTGCTCCCTCGCTGTTTCCCCGCGGTCGCTCCCCTGTGCTTTGGATTCTGCGCTCCTGAGTCCGTCTGACCGAGTTTTCCTGTGCAACCCCGCTCCGCCAGCTGCTGGTTTCGTCCCTCTTACCGATCAGGCTGAAGAATTGGTTGTTATCAGACTTCCGAAAACTTCAATTTTCTGTGATCTGGCTGTGTTTTCTGTTGCTAAGATTTTATTGTCTCTAAACTTGGTTGTGTGAGAAAGCACAGGGTCTCCACCTATGCTTCCATTTTGGCGGAAATCTCCCAGAGCTGGAATCCATTGGTTGCTTCTTGTGTGTGCCCTGACTACAGCCTTGGTATATCAGGATGACACTCTAACCACTGAGCTCCCTGGCCAAGACTTATTATTTTTATTATTATTTTTAAAGTGTTTTTCTAACATTCTTTTTCCTTTTATTAAGGTAGAAAAACTTTTAAGAGCAGTTGCTGATAGAGATCTAGAAATGGTGAGTTTGTAGAAGTTTATTTTTAAAAGCTTGCTCTCAGTTTAAAATCATGGTACTTCTTCTTGTCTCCAGTTCAGTTAGGAGCCGTGTGGCTTCCTTGTACACTCTCACACAGAAGATGGTGCATTTAATAACTCTTTGATGATGGCAATGTAATGTTTCCACCACAAATAAGGAGACAAGTGGACATAAAGCCACATAATGAGTATGTCCATGCCTCTTAGACATTCATATGGGAGGGTGGGAAGGCATTGGCAAGAGACCAGCTCATGTCGAGGTCACAGAGCGTGGGCTCAAAGCCCAGGCCCACGAGCCAGGAGCAAGGTGAGCAGAGGGGTTTGAGGGTGAGGAGGAGGTAGTGGAGGCAAGGGCAGAGTGCAGAGGGTGTTGGTGTGGCCCTGCAGAAGTGTGGACAGCTGGGCCACCTGGGCCAGGAGCCTGCAGTCTCAGGCTTGGGGCTCCAAGGAGTCTTGACCAAGGTGTCTGGCCCAGGTGGTGCTGACTGATATGGGGGGACCTGTTGAGGACGTCCTGGTGGGAGGGAAGGTGTCTGTGCTGACCCTCACTGTCAGGTGGTAGCAGGGCACCTCTATGATGAGATCACTGGAGGATGGAAGTAGCCTCCACAAGATCCCTACAAGCAGTTTCCCTGGCCTGCCTTTGGCTTCCTGAAAGAGATTTGTTTTGTCCTCCACCGTAAAAGGAGGAGTAAACTAGGTCACTCAGCAAATGGAAGGTTACAAGAGAGCTTTACCACAATATGTGTTTCAAGAGTGCTTTCCACTGATGATTGAGTTTGAGCAGTAAACAGAAATTACGAAGTCTAATTATAACAGCCTCCGAGATAGTGAGAACCAAGTGTGGTCCTTGGTGTGTGAGGCTTTGCCCGGGGACCACTGCTAATCTACTGGGCCTACATGTGTTTGCATCTGGCTGATGTGGCACTGCTCCTCCCCTGAGAATGGCCCCAGGAGAACCCAGCTTTCTCTGGGGGAAGCAAAGGTGGAGGTCATTAGGCGCCCTGAGAGCCGTGGTATGAGCCAGTGGCATAGGCTGTGTGGAGAAGAGATTATCACAATCCCTGTGTCGTGACATGTCTGTTCTCTTCTTCCTTCTGTGGGCAGTGAGGGGGCTGAGGTCACTCATGAAGGAGGTTGGCAGAGACACACTGCCCAGTGCTGTGGAAACCCATCCAAACTAATCTACATATGCAAGAGCCTCCAGTGCCCTGCCTAGGGCCACCTGCCCCTGTCCCTCTTCCTGTTCCCCTGTTCTCAACAAGAGAACCTGCCCTTGGTCTCCCTCAGCTAGCCTGGCAAGTGAGGCCCCTTAGTCAAGGCCCTGGTATTTCCACCCTGACCGGTGTGTGTTGTCTGGGACATAAAGGGACCTGGAGGAAAGATGCTTGGGGTCAAAGATGGGTCCCTGGAGCCCTGTGTCAGCCCTTGCAGGCGCATGCTGACTACCTCAGTGATTGGGATCAGGCCTAGGTATGCATTTAGATTTTCTTTTCTCAAACTTAACATCCCAGAAACTAGTCTTCACTGGGACATGAATCTGACCTATTTGGGGGTCTTTTCTGTGCTCTCAGCCAGGGGCTAATGCATGGCAGTGGGAAGGACAGTGGTGTGGGGTTGCAGCCACCGCTTCCTGGCTCTGTGGCCCTGAGCACGTTGTTGGTCTCTGGCACTGAGTTCCCTCCCAGGGAAAAAGGTTTTTGAAAAGTGATTTTATCTTTTTTTAGATAAAAGAGAACAGTCTTGCCAAATGCTCCAGTACCAGGGTTTTGAAGCAGCACCACTCTGGCCCTTTTTTAAAATAGAAAAGAAGAACCTCTAACACAAGCTACAGAAGTGGTAGCTTAATCTATATCACCATGAAGAGGGCTTAGAAACTGTTGATTACCTGTAACCCCTAGACTTTGTGAGCAGCAGCCATCAGAGGGAGAAGGAGGGAGGGTCAGAGGGAGAGGGAGAGACATGGATTAAGAAACTGTAGTTTGCAAAGGAGCTAAGATGAGTTTTGAGCCCCTGTTTCTCTTTACTCTGCAACACCAGGTGCGTTACCTTTTGGAGTGGACAGAAGAGGACCTGGATGATGTGGATGATGCTGTCAGTGTTGCGGATCTTGAATTTTGTCACCCGTTGTGCCAGTGCCCAAAATGTGCTCCGGCGCAAAAGGTTGGGCTTTGCTTCTATTGATGGAGGTGGTGATAGGAGGGAAATTCTCCTTTTTCTTCTAGAAAAAGTTGTCTGCTTCTCAGCCAGTTAACATCTGCATGGCTGGTGGTGGGTACTCCTGAGGTGTGGTGGGGCTCATTAGCTCGGGGGACAGAAGCTGACACTAGTACAAGACCTGGCTTGGGCTGCCAGCTTGCTGAACAGGAGGCCAGTGAGCAGGGATATCAACCTGTGATTAGTGTTTCACCTGCTCTCTTGGCCCCTGAGCCACCTGCATGAGTTGACAGATAGATACACTGAGGGTCTCCATGCACATAGCTGCATTCCCCTGGAGAGGCTGTGCTCAAGTTTCATTGCCACAGCCTATGCCCACGCCCACGTTGGTGCATCTTCTGTGGCAGACAGATCACCTGCACCATCCAGCTTCCCTAACTGACAACAGCTTGGAAAACCACAGAACAGTGTTACAATCAGGATATCAACATGGATACAATATATCCACCTTACTCAGATACCCCCAGTTTTTTTTTTAAGATTTTATTTATTTTATCTTTAGAGGGGAAGGGAAGGAGAGAGGGAGAGAAACATCAATGTATGGTTGCCTTTCATGTGTCCCCTGCTGGGAACTGGCCTGCAGGGAACCAGCCTGCAACCCCGGTATGTGCCCTGACTGGGAATCGAACCGCAGTTGTCTGGTTCGCAGGCCCGCGCTCAATCCACTGAGCTACACCAGTCAGGGCCAGATACCCCCAGTTTTACCTGTGCTTGCGTATGTGTGTGTGTACTTAGTTGTATCCAGTTTTTCACATTTGTATCTTTGTCTATACACCAGCACATTCAAGGTGCAGAACAGTTCACTCACCACAGGAAGAATCACTTGTGTTGCCCTTTTATAACCACACCCGCCACCCTATGTTGCCCCAGCCCACCATCCACTGATCTGTTCTCCGTTTCAAAAGTGTTAAGTAAATGCAATCAAACAGTACCAGCACCTTTTGGGACTGGCTTTGTTCGCAAGGGCGATTCCCAGTTTTTGCCCGTAGTTCACACAGTTGGTCTAGTTACTGTCCAGCACCACTCCAGGCACACAGATGCCCCTGCCAGTTTAACGACTCACTGTTAAAGGACACGGGGTTGATTCTGGGTGTGGGGTGTTCCAAACGAAGCTGCTGTGCACATTTGTGTACAAGTTTTTGTGAGAATGTAACAAAGTTTTAATTTCTCTAAGGTAAATGCCCAAGAATGCAATTGCTGACTCACGATAAGGAGATGGTAATTCTATGATTAGTTTTGCAAGGAACTGACAGACTTTTCCAGAGGGGTTGTACCCTTTACATTGCCAGCAGCAGTGTATGAGCGGTTCAATTTCTCCACATCCTCAGCTGCGTTTGCTATAGTCACTACTTTTTATTTCAGCCATTCTTGCATTCCCTAACAGGTGATGACACTGCGCCTCTTTTCATGTGCTTACTTCTGTATATGTTCTTTGGTGAATTGTTTGTTCATTTCCTTTGCCCACTTCCTAATTTTTTTTTTTTTTACTTTTGAGTTTTAAGAGTTCATGTATTCTAGAGTCTAGCTCTTTGTCAGATACATGGTTTGCAAATATTTTCTTTTGGTCTGTAGTTTGCATGTAGCTCCTTCACATGGGTTTTCACAGAACCATTTTTTTCATTTAGAAGTTCAGTTTATCAATTTTTCATTTTATAGATTGTGCTTTTGGTGCTAAGTGTGAGAACTCTGCTTAGCTCTATATTCCAAAGATTTCCTCCTGTTTTTTTATTTTCCTAAAAGTTTTATAATTTTACATTTAACACTTAAGTCCCTGATGCAGTTTGAGTTAAATTTTGTACAGGGTGTGAGATTTAGGTTGCAGTTTATTTTTTGCCTATGGATGTCCGCTCTTCCAGCACCATTTGTTAAAAGGCAGCCCTTGTTCCGCCTTCTTGCTTTCTGGACCTCGGTTGGCTGTGTGTGGTGTGGGTCTGTTTCTGAGCTTGCTGTTCTGCTCCACTTCTCTGCGTGTCGCTCCCTCCACCAGCGCCACCCCATCTTGATTGTTGCAGCTGTGTGGTACGCCTCGATATTGGGTAGAGTGGTTCTTCCTAATTTATTCTTCTTTAAATTAGGGTCGTTTTAGCTAGCATTCTAGGGCCTCTGCCTTTCCATATAAATGCCTCTGTCTACACAAAACCTTGTTAAAATTTGATAGTAATTGCATTAAAACTGTAGATCAATTTGGAGAGAAATAACATGTGTACTGTGTTGAGTCTTTAGCCCTTCTTGGATTTCTTCTTCAATATTTTGTGGTTTCCAGCATGCAGATCCTATCCACGTTTTGTTAAATGTGTGCCTAAGTATTTCGTTTTCTTTCGAGCAGTTGCAAATAGCATTGTGTGCATAGTGTGCGGTCATGCGCCAGCTCTCTAACTCATTGTGTGTTCCATACTGAGAAAATTAATTTGACTTTACAAAACAGATAGAGTGGTGTTATCCTTTAGATTGCAAAATTACACTACCTTATTTAAAAAGCTTCACTGTGGGTTTCTCTAACCTAAGAATACTGAAATGACTATATTTTTCATTCATGTGTAGCTTTTCAGCTGCAGGATGATGGGTGTACAGGGCTGTGCAACTTCCGTTCTGTGCCCATGCTTCTGGATATGCACAGCCCAAACAGGCACTTTCCCTAGGTGGTAGGCTTTGAAAACCAGGGTTAAAAGGGCAGCTGATGTTTCAGAAGATATGATGGGTAGGCATGAAGCCCCCAGGTCCAGTTGTGAGTCTGTGCGGCCAGAGGTGGTCACTGCATCTCCCTGTTGTTCTTTCTCATTTCTCTACAGTCTGTTCTTCCCCACTCCATTGCATTCACTGCACAGTAACAAGACACGTAAAACACATTGTAGTATCTGTTGGATTTATTGGATAAAGCCTTATGTTCCCTGTGCTTTAAAAACTCTTATCTTTTCTTCTTTTAGTAATTTCTCAAAAAGACACAAAACTAAATTGTTTCATGTCTGTGATTAAATTAAAATTCTCCCCAAACCCATTCTCTGGTGTATTTAGAGTAAAAAATAAACAAAAAAGCCTTTTTTGAAGTATCATTTACATAAAATAAAGTACAGCAGTTCCTCAAATAATGTCATTTCAGTTATAATGCTGATAAGATGCTGTAGGAACTTAACTCTTCCTTATTATCAATTAGCCAGTGGTAAAACTACTTTTGTTATACCTTATTTTGCTTAACATCACAGAACCTATCAATGATGTTAAGTGAGGATTTACTGTATACACATGTGAAGTATACCATTTGGTGAGTTCCTGCAGATGTGTACACCCATGAAGACATCACCACATTGCCTCCGAGAATTCCCTCCTGGTTCTGTGCAGCTCCTCCCTCAGTCCCTCCCCGCCCAGGCACAGTTTGTCAGATACACGTGCTACAAGCATAACCACTGACCTGCTTTGTGTCATACAGACTCAATGCATTTTCTAGAATCGTATGTGTAAGGAACCATACTGGACATACTTTCGAGTCTGGCTTTCTTTACTCAGCAGAATGTTTTGAGATACATGTTGTATGTAAAGCTACTGTGAATATTTGTATACCTCTTTCTACAAATGTGTTCACTTGGGTAAATACCCAGGCGCATAATTGCTGGGTCATGCAGTTAAATCTATGCTGAACTTTATAAAGCAAGCAAGCACCCAGCTTTCCACAGTGACTGTAGCATTTCTGCAGCCTAGCCAGCAGCCCGTGAGAGTTCTGGTTGCCCCACACTCTGTTAGTGTTCACTGCTCTGACTTTTTAACTTCAGCCATCACCCTGGTAAGTGTGCCATGGCACTGTAGTGTTCTGCTCCATCAACTTCCTTGTTTTTGACTTTTGAGATATAATTTGCATGCAGTAAAATTCACCCTTTAATTTAGCTTAGTATTTAAGTGGTGACATTTTTAATCATCAGAAAATGAACTAGCCCTGGCTGGTGTAGCTCAGTGGATTGAGTGTGGGCCTGCGAACCAGAGTATCGTGGTTTGATTCCCGGTCAGGGCACATGCCTAGGTTGCAGGCCAGTCCCTCACGGGGGACTCACCAGAGGCAACCATACATTGATGTTTCTCTCTCTCTCCTTCCCTTCCCCTCTAAAGATAAATAAATAAAATCTTTTAAAAAAATGAACTAGATAAGCAAAGTTTTAATCCTTGATCAGTTACAGAAAACATTGACAATTTAATTCCACTATCAAAATATATGATTCAATATCAAAATTTGATTCTTTTTAGTTATATGGTTTATAGATCAGTTTCTTTTAACCTTTTAATTACTGATTGATTATTCTATATCACATGATTGATTTTAAAACCACTGTAGGCAGGGAGTGTCGGCCACGCTTGGCGCACTGTCCCAGTCCCCGGGCGAAGGTGGCCAGGGAAAATGGGGCCTAGGGATTGCTAAGCAAATGGCACCATTGGTGGTCTTCAGCGCCCGTGGACATATTCACCTCTATACTGATCAATGAGCTGCTGAAGGAAGACTGACTCCTGCAAAGCTCCCTTCAAGTGGGGTCTTTTTCTTTCTATCATGCAGTATATTTCCGCTTTATTAAAACTCACATGGTGGACTTCCACCAAGATGGAGGCGTAGGTGGAAGCACTGTGCCTTCTTGCACAACCAAGTTTAAAAACAACAAAGTTTTAGCAACAAAAACGCAGCTAAACCACAGAAAATTGAACTATACGGAAGTCTGACAACAATGAACCCTTCAGCCAAACCAATAAACTGGTGAAAGAGCGAGCACTGAGACGGACTGCGCAGTCCCCAGTGGCGGGAAGTGGCAAAGGGAACCGCCATTGTCCCTCTCTGACCCCGCCCCCACATACAGCGTCACAAACCAGCCTCCTGGGCGGCCCCTCTCTGACCATGACCCCACATACAGCATCACAAACCAGCGACCTGGGTGGCCCTACCCTGGTGAACACCTGAGGCTCCGCTCCCCATA